AAGGATTTCAAGTGTTTTATCCATGGTGATGCTTGGTTGAATTTTGCTGAGATTTGTTCTTGTTGTAATTTGGGAAATGGGATTCGAGAGAGGGTAAATTTGTAATTTTACCCTTATATTTTTTGGTTTTGTTTTGGTTATATGGGGATACACACCCGGGTGTTGGATCCGGTGTGCACCACTCATTATCCTTATGTAAATTTTTAATTTTTAAGTTATATTATTATATATTATGTAAGAATAAAATAACCTTAAAATTGCCAAAAACTTTAAAAAAAATAGCACGGTTAAATTTAGGATTTTTTTCTAATAACTGTTTAAATTATTTTATAAATAACTAAAGCGTATATTAATTTTCTTTCAAGAGTTTAGGGGGTCATGCCCCCCAGCCCTACTTATCCACCGTCCCATCCTCGGGTATGAAAACAATAATGTTGAATTTGTTATTCAATCAACCGGCTCACCGGGTTGGCCGGCCAAGTTTTACAAATTTGACTAGATTTAACCAGATCAACCTTCAAAATGGGTTGGAGTATTTTCCCAACTCAATTTTGGTTTAAGAGTTTTTATAAAGGTATATATTAAAAATATATTTTTATCATAAATATATATAAAAAATATATAATTAATAATAATTTTAATATTTGAATTAAGTAAATAAATTTAATTAAATAATTGATTAAATAAAGAGTAATTTTTATTTTTTTAATGTAAATTATTTTTAAAAAATATATTAATTACACTTTTAATCTATATTCTAATAGCTTATTTAGTTAGAGATTAGGGAATCAAATAAAATTTTCTATCTAAATAATAAAAATTGGAGAAAGAAGGAAAAGAGAGGAGGAAAGGAGATTTCTTTTAATTTTTTTTTTATAATTTTAACATAACCAAATGAGAAAAGCAAAATAGAGAGAAATAGAAGGATATTGTTTCTTATTCTATCACTACTTGCTTGAATGTTCAAATATAATACCTCCCATATAAAAATTTCAAGTTCTTAATTCATAAAATGATTACTTTAGTTAAGAAAATTATTGTTGAATTCTTGTAATGCAATTTTTAAAATTTTACAAGATGATACAACATGAGAGATAAATGTTTCTTTTATGATATATATGTTATATAATACTATGCTTGTTGTGAAATAATTTACGTTTCTACAAATAATTATTTTATTATTTTAAAATAAAATTTAAATAAAGATTATCTATTATTTTAAAATAGAAGTAATACAACATAAGATGAGATTCAAGGTTTACTTATGAGCCTGAGGCTTCCCACTGCAGCAAAATCATTCGGCAGCAAGCCAACAACCCTTTTCAATAATCGGAGGTTTTAGTAAATACAAGTGGTCAAGAGCTTGGAATATATATATATATATATATTAATTTATATTCTCAAAACACAAGTAAATATTTTTTATTATAAATATATAAAAAAATATAAAAAATATAAAAATTAACCTTAATTTCATCATTAAT